CATCGACCAACTCATGAACGAAAGCTCATAAAAAGCTGTTCTGGAATAATTTTACGCATAATAACTCAACTCCTCATCGATAAGCGTTAAAATGCAATTAGTTTGGGCTAGCATTCAGAGCTCTGACCAGATGTGGGGTACATTGATCTTGGAAATGATTTACCCTCTCACAATGTAGTGTATATGTGTTCTTACGTTTTCGGGTTGTACATTCTGTCCCATTTGCCTAAATAAGCTCTTACCCTAGAAAGATCCTATGTTCAGAGCATTTACCAAGTGTTGTCAAAAAGTAATCAGATTCGATAGTTGCATGAGAAGAGTATATATGATAAACAATAAAAGTTTATTGAATGGCTGCGTCAACATTCCATCTCACCTTATTTTTGGGCTAAATCTAGCCGTGTGCAAATGTAAAAGTAGGACAAAACAAAGATGATTACTAGGTAAACGTCCACGTCATTCTTTTTCTATAAGTGGCTCACTAAATGCAACAAGGTACTCTAAACTTGTTCTTTTTCCTACTTTAGGCGCCCCAACAACTAAGTGTTTGATTTGATTATGTTAACAGCACGTCATTACTATAAACACTACTTTCGTAAATAAAATTGCCATAGTTCACAATGTTGTTAAAAATAATACAACACAACACAACACAACAATCTCATTAATGTTTCGATTATATTAACATTAAGACTCTTTTGAGAAAGGTTTGAATTGCTGCTAAAGTAGGTAACAAAACTATATCAGCAATTTAGAAAGCTTATATACTGGCGAAAAATCAGCTTCACCAGTTGAGAAAACATATGAGGTTAATTCTTGAATTCTGCTGATAGATGCAATTTGCTCTGAAAATGATATATATTAATCTAACTCAGAAAGTGTCTTAGAAGTTCGAGCGCTAACAAAATATCTGCGACGCAAAATTTTAGAAAAGTTGTTTCATTTACTAGCCGCTTTCAGAGTGGTTAGTGTCCCCTTATCCTCCTCGGTTAAAGTTCAAATTATTCTACATATCGTAAAAAAACCTATGTGCTAATCTGCTACACTTATGAAAATGTGAAGGGCGATTGCTCTTAGTCTTATGGGCTACCCTGAAAGAAATGCGAAACATCCGCGTTGACTATATTTAAGCAAAAAACAATTTTAGTGTTTGATAAACTCTTGATATGAGGCCCAAAACAACTATGTAAATATCATCGTCGATAGCTGTATTACCCAAAATAAGAAGCGAAAGTT